CAATGTCGCAAATCTACATGTTTAGTTGCAAAAAAAAAATATAAGGAATAAAAATATTTATCATAACATTTCGGTTAAAAACAGTTTGTACCTATATTTTTTTATACATTTAGTTTTGCCGAATTGATTGATAGTTTTTATACCTATCTGCCAGTGCATATTTAGGAAACGCACACATTTTGGCATATACCCAAATAAAAATGTAAACTTCTTGAACGAATGGGATTTATAGTGTACGACTCGCCAGTTCCTACTTCTTGAGCCATAGTCTTAATGGTATAAAGGCAACATTATATACCTAAGTTGATTACTTGAGTAATTCGTTGATTTTGTTTTAAAAAGAAGGAGGTTCTCCCTTCGGTTGCTTTTTTTATGTCTGTTACCTCGTAACTCCGTCGGTTCTAAACCGATTTGGATTTTTTTGTATCTAAAAGGATATATTACATAGGTTCCCTAGAAATTTTATCAAAATCGGTTCGCTAGTTTAATTTTTAGATCAAAATAATCTGGTTTCTGGCACAATTGAAGTTGGTTTTTTGTGGCTCACAATCTTTATTAATTTTTAGTGCTTATTTGCTCTTCTATAATTATCTAAGCACGTAACATTTTCGCATGTTTTAGTTAATATACAGAAAGTGAAAAAATATGACAAATGTATAAAGCTTTTAATTTTTCGTCGATGATAACGTCGTAACGTATGACATCGTCGATTTTTGTTTACTTGAATGTGCACAAAAAATTAAAGATATCTTTATAATATATGTGCAAGTACATACCCGTAGTAATAATGCATTATGCTTTCATATCATACTATGACCTAACGTTAAACTCGTGCGATGCCACGCTACGGTAAATTATCAAAGCGTCCTATTGTTTATTGTACTGGATTGTACCAGGATAATATACTACCTATTTGACATACTAAATGCAGGAATTACGTTGTACACGCCAGATAAATTGGTATTCATCGGCAACGTCGTATAAAACGCCGAATGAATACCCTGGCAGGTTTACATAACGGAACCACAGATTTCCAGTGTCTGCTCTCTATTTCCCCTGGCAATTTGCAATGCTTATCATTTTGTTTCGTCTGCCTCTTCGATATCTCGTAAATTATCCGCCTTTGTTGACGTTGCCGCCATTTAATTTGGTTGGGCGTGTATGTAAACCGGCGTAAGAAGGGTTGCCAGCCATCCAGGATCAGGATTCTGTATTCCAAACTATCTAATTCATCTTGGCTGAACATTAAACATGATAATATTAAAATTTATTCTTCTAAAACTTCTTTTTCCTATGCGGGACCTTCTGAAAAATATTACACCTATTGTAATTATATTTAGTTAAATTTTCAGTATTTCTGTATTGAGTTACGAATATTATCATTCATAGGTTTTGTATTAACATTCAGCACATAAAATCCTAAATTGTAACTTGTTTACAAGCTAGAAAAGTGCAGTTGCTTTTATTGTTTCCTTTGTTATGCTTTTTTGGATACGCTTCTATAATATTCTTCTATTATATAATTAAAGTTATCAAAATCTTTTACAGATAACATTTTAAAAAATTGTTACCTCCTGAAACTGACAATGCAGTTGGGCTTGAATGAAACAGGACAATATTATCTTATTACTAGAGATATATTGTTACAGAAAGCGATTGTATATAGGCAACCCTAAGCCTCGAGTTTGTTCGTTCGCGCTCGTTAGACGATCGCAACGGAACGCCGCGGCGCGGCGGCGCGACTGACCTGTTATTTGCGTCCAGTATCCCACTATTGGTAACTTTAGACGCCTCTTTTATCTTGCATGAAATTACCTTTTGCCGCCGTTAGTTCCCTTTATCTGGTTTCTATTGGCGGCCTCCAGTTAATTTAAATTTTTTTGTTAAACCTCGCTTGTTATGACTGATAGCGCATCTCATCTCGCTAGATAACAATTTTGCAACGTTTATTATAATGTAATTGTGAACTAATTTTTGTTAGTAATGCCACAGATAATATAATACTTGATAATATAATGCTGAGGCGTGGAATTCACTGGCTATATTAAATGGAATCTACGATTAGAACTGCTGAGATCATAAAATTACATTGAAGCTATTTTGTGTTAATCTTGTTTTACATTTAACGAGTTCGTAACGACTTCAGCATTTAAAATAGGTTAGGCCATAAAACCGCAGTTTTGCACAGACCTAGGCGCAGTAAGTATGGTACCTATGTGATATTATGTTATTATTCTTTGAGTTAAATGTTGATCCATTCCAGAGAATAGCTAGAGACCTTAAAGTTTTCTGTATAATACTATAATTTGTAAGTTTGTAAAATAAAACAATGGCTCACTACATGTTTTGGGAAACTGTAAGTGTGGTGAGTAATTTTCAAATAAATAAATAACTGTTGAAAACTATTTTGATTTTATCTGTTTTTGTTTTTATTATATCTTTTGTTTTACACTCTAGTTGTCGTTATGTAATAAATTTGTCGGTTTTTTTTTATCTAAAGACATTACAATTCCGTATAGTCCTATTTTGATTCGATGGTAAATGATAGTAATAAACCATTGTATTGTATGATGCTCACTTTATGATGTGATTATCATTAGTAGCTTCGCCAGACAAACAGAGATATCAGTCTCCATATAATAATTAAAAATTTCCATCTAAAACTTAATCCAAGTTAATCGAAAATAAATTACTTAAATATCAGCGGTTAATTGTCCATTGCTAAACACAGGCCTTTTCCATAAGGGGAGTTTTGTCAGTAGTTGTCACATTTGACAGAGTTTTTTTTTTATGGATGATAATGGAATAGTAACCCCGCCTGCGCTATTGTGTTACACTAGCGGGGCACCAGTGAGGGATGATTGGTGAAGGTGAAAAGGCAGATCAGTTAGCCCATCGTGACAAATTTAACGATAAATTTGTCACGATGGTTTCCAGGGGGAACCGCGTGGAGGTCGGCCTGATAAGGTATATTAATAGCAATGGGAACTAACCTTCCCATTACTAACAATCCCTTCGTCCTTGTTGGGCCGGTTACCAGCAGCAGTTAAGCATTAGTGATGTTTTAAGAGAGACAGCTATCCATCCCTCGACCCTTAAGTTCCCTTATGACATCCGCGGGAAAGGAAGGGATGACCCATTCTATGCCGGGACCATACGGCAATTCATATATTACTAATATACTATTATCATCCGTTAACCCTTCTTTGCATAATGATGGAAATTTCCATCATAACATTGAATGCCCAAAAATTATATAAAAGAACAAGTTCTCTTTAAGTTGATCATGTCTGGATACCTTTTTAATATCCATTGCAGAAAAAAAAACATAGCTGTCAAATTTATTTCTTTAACCATTTTTCCTTTAATTTTGAACATTAATTATATCACCTTAATTTATTTGACCAATAAAAATAAATCATGCAAAGAAGGGTTAAAAAGCAGGTGAGCGTTAGGGCAATATTTAAAATCTACAATATTATTATATAACATGACTGTGATAATTTATCGATACATTTTTGGCAGATGTCGACTGACTAAAACGAGAAAATTCAACGCAGACAATCGTGTCGGACGTGGACACGAAAAATTAGCGCCTTATCTCGTTTTGGTCTAAGCTAAGGTAGATTAGTTTATCTTAGTCCAAAACGAGATTTTATATTTTGAACTGCTAATAGATTTCATACATCATAGCAGTTAGGTATAGTTGCGCATGAGTTACGTAGGCGTTACAGAATAAAATGATGTTTATGGTGCTTTTATGTCTATAGGCGAAGGTTGCCACTTTCCATCAAGCGGACCGTGGGTATGTTTGCCATGCTGAGTTTCATGAAAAAACACCACTGTCACCGTAACTAATGTTATAGTGTCGTAATTAGATCATATAACGAAGTTCGGTGGAACTGGCGTCAGTCCGAGGCGACTTCTTGGAATTAGATGTCGCACCGCTCCAAATAGTTCGTTGCACTGCCACAAACAGCGCCGCCTCTGTCTGTTCTGAAGTGATCATTTATCTCTAATGTAATAAACACAAATTTAGCGTTCACCCAAATAATATGTTGTTATTTTGTATTAAATCTCATTTTAATTATAAGTACTACAAAAATTTATTTAATAGAAAATAATTTATAATTGTAATCCACCGTTAAATAATTTATGACTGTATATATGAATTTATAATACATACAATGAATATGAGAGCAAAATGAATCATTGAAATTTGACCAGAAGTGGCGAAAATATCATGTACTTATAAACGAATTGAGAACCTTCTATTAAGAATCGCTTGTTAATTATTTAATTCGGTTTCAATTGACAAAGATGTCGGTTTACGTTGTCTATAACAAAATGTCGAAATATAAACCTTTTCGTTTTTTAAACGGGCTAAAAAAAATCATTAAAAATCTTCTGTAAGTATTCTTATGGCTTAGGTGGATATTGGTTTATTAAATGTATACTAATAAAGATAAGTAGTTACTCAATTAAATTAAATCCGTCCTCCTTTGTCTCCTACTAAAATTATGTAAAATTTATTGTTTTCGAAGCGTAAAATTTGATATGTTTATAGTTTATGTATAAAAACGGTTTCTATGTTTAGCACTCGTACACGACTGGTTGTTGACAATAATCGTCAGTAGGGTCAGAAACAATGAGAGAGTATTTGCATATTTTAAAAGTACCCAGGTAGACCAATAGGTAGACCCATATCTGAGTGTTTAGTTTTCAATTGTACGTTGGTAAGTGTATTGTTATGGTGTAGGTTAGGTGCTTTAAACGCCTGATAATTACTTATGGGTCGTACAGTCACTGTTAATAGGTATATTTTACCGTTCCGTATTCAAACTATTGGCAGAAAGAACACGGTATTTGCTACGTATTTTTTGGTTAATAAAATTAGAAGAAAAATACCAAGAAGTTTATTTAATAAGAATATAAAATGTATGCAATTGTATGGATACACTTTTATGAGGACGGCGGTGTGTGTACAGAAATTTAAAAGTATCTCTATTCAAATATGACACAAAGAAATGTGTATACTTTTTCTACTATTTTTGACGTCAATTTATACGATATTGTGCTATGATAAATTTATAAAATACGCTCAATTTAATTCAGTTCATTCCTGAAGACATTTTCATGGAATAAATCAAAAGACTGATGAGTTTAGTCACAGATAAATATAGTTACTAGTGTAAGCAAGTAATAGTAAAAATATGAGGGACTAATAAAATAAAAGTACCGCGTAAACATAACTGTATGTACGAAAAGTCCCCTAAATACTGAGAACATAGACAGACTGGATCGCACAAAGGCGCATCGACCGACAACGCACACATGCACGGAGGACCGGGGACAGACGCGGGGACGGGGGATTTTAGTCCGTGTCGAGCGCTCGGCAGTGACGTACCTATTACAATGTCTATTGAAATCGACATTAACTTACTAATAGAAGAAATCAGAAAACGAGCCCCAATATATGACACTTCCACAAAAGAGTACCATGATAGAAGTTTAAAGAAACAACTATGGGACGAAGTATGCCAAGAGGTTTTTTCTTCTGTTTGGGATTCGTTATCGGGTCGGGACAAAATTAAATATGGTGAGTTTTGCTTTTTCTTTATTTTATAAGTATATACAATTTTATTTTGTAGGTTGTTGAGGAGAGGCGAAACGTAATTTGCTATACTTTTGTGTGTGTTGTGTTGTCGAGCTACGATAACGCGACCGCGTTGGTTTTCTGTGGCGGAGGCGAGCTGCGCGCACGGGAGCGGGAGCGGGGATCCGAGCGTGGCCACGCCGCGCGCGTCACATTACATTTATTTCAGCAGTACTGTACTACGTGACATGTTGAAGCGATTTGTTTACAACAGATGCGCGGTTATTTTGTTAAATAACTAGCTATGTCGGAATTATTATTTTAACTAACACTATTTTAGGGATCATTTTTGCAAACAAAAATATTCTATTAACATATAAATTCATTACTGGTTAATCATAATGTTAACAGTGAACTTCCATTTTTAATTCTAATGAACAAGTTTAGGACTTAACGTAACAAAAATAAACGTATTATAACAAATATTAAAATATACATATAATTATATTAATGGTTGACTCATTATTTCCAATAATATTTTTATGTCGATGTCCCTATTTCGAAGACTCGCATGAAATAAATTAAATTCTATGGCCCCGATTCCACTGCGCTTGTTTCGTCGAAAACCGTCGCCCGAACTACGATTTACGAAAGGACGGATGCGGCAAGAAAATCGACAGGTAAACTATGATGAAAATATCGAGTATTAATCCGCTTTAGTTTTGAATGTTTATAAGGGTCTACGCAAATGTAGGACAAGATTTGATATGCGTTTTTTGTCTTAAAAAAGTAGAGTGTAAAATTCCATTGCATAAGGTTATTAATGCCACCATCATGTTTTAGTTTAACCAGATAGTTATGTAATGGTTGATTTTTAACCCATTGCAGTATTTATAACGATTTCGTTGTATTCTGACGCCTTATAAATTTACGTATGTCATAAATAGTGAACAAAATTAAATTCTCAACATCTTTATGCACAAAATTTCTCTTGGTATTTTTTAGTCATATTCGATTTTAATATGCGTCAAAGAAGCTGTAAAATTTTAAAGGTTTAAGTGAGAGATATAGATACATATATAGATAGTCGTGTACACTGTGTTGTTCATATAAATATGTGTAACTTCTTTTTTTTATACGTTATCACTCTTAAAGAGTGACGACTATGTTGTAGTGCCTCTTGTGTCTGTAGTATAAGCACATATTGTTGTTTCGTAGCAGAAATATGTATATATATATATATATATATATATATATATATATATATATATATATATATATATATATATATATAATGAAACGGTGATACTTTTACTCGGACGCGTTCCGAGTCACGTAAACACTACCGCCGGTGACAGTTAACATATTTATTCTCTTTACGGTTTTGTTTTTTTGTAAATATTTCCGAATATTATTAAAAAAAAATAGGTATTATTATCTAGATAAATAAATTGTAAAATTCGCAATATTGCATTGTAGATGTACTCGTATATAGACAGTATATAATATGGAGCATGTACCCATTCAATGTATATATAAAAAAAGTTCCAAGACATTCAAATTTCGAATTTAGGTAATGTCTTTTAAAAAAAAGTTGCTTTCTTTTCTGACACAAAATTAGTTTCGCATTTAACATATTATAATATAAATATTGTCCTCAATATTTCAATATTATGTTAATTGATATTGATTGTAAAAATCTCTCGTGAACATCCGTAAATAATTGTCAAATACGTGAGATTGTAATCTTTTTTATAAATTCATAGTCGTATATTATGAAATTTATAAAAATTGATATGAAGTAAGGAAAGAAAAAAGAAAACACATTTGTTCCAATTAAAAACCTAGTCAATTACTTTTCTACAAGTTTTCCATTACTTTTTTCACATTTTTCTTGAGATATTGTACAATGACTGGGCCCAAAATAAAATATCTCTTTACAAGGTGTGGGACAATAATTACTGCAATATCGTGATATTGAAACTTGTTATACCGCTGAGTAGTTTTGAGTAGATATTATTTGAGTATATGTTTGTTAAGTCTCGGTGCCTTAACGATTCAACCAATTTCATGCAATTTGGTATACATATATACATATAGAGTATTTGGAATAAGGAACGATATCATATAGGTTACTTTTTATTTTTTATCTTGATCAATCAACATATAAGTCACGAGGAAAAAGTCTTGGGTAAAAACTAGCAACGTAATATAATAAATGTTAATGAAATAAAATACTAATAACACCGGGCAAGCTGTTCTATACATAAACATATAATATTTATATATTTTTCTATTGTAGGAAAAGAAGTACAGAAGAGGTGGAGTTCTCTAAGGCATTGTTTTCGAAGGGAAATTACGATACAGAAAAAGGCTTCATGTGGAGGTGCAAAAAAAAGAAAGTACATCTATTTTGATTCTCTATTATTTTTACTGCCTTTTACAGAAGCCGTAAAAAATGACAGATCAATTAGTATGGATGAAAGTAATGAGAATATTTTAGAAAACCAAACAGATATGAATGTACAAAGTTATTATTCAGAAAGTGAGCCAAGCTCTTCAAAATCTAGAACGTCAAAAAATTGTAACGAGGACGTACAAGTAATAACTTTACTTAAAGAGGGAAATCAAATGATGCGTGATTATAAGACATACGATGATGGACAAGATGAAGACGAGTCATTTTTTCGTTCGCTTATGCCACATATGAGAGAACTTACAGGAGATCAAAAATTGTTATTAAGGATGGAAATTATAAAGTTAATTTTAAATGTTAAACAGTCGTCAAACAACTGTTCGAAGACTTCTGACAGTAATGATAATTACAACACATAGTATTAAAAATACAACATTAACCGATATTTACTAAATTAATAGAAAATCTTCAATAAATATGTTATCTTTTAACTTGGCAGTATTTGAAATATTGCCACTTTATCATTAAAAAGGAAATATAATAACATGTATAAATAAATAATGAGAATATTGTAAAGAGTGAACAATTTATTTTATTCTTACAAGTCCCCCTAATTTTCCCTTAATTTTCATTCGACCGCAAGCAAATCACTAACTCACGCTTTCCTCCCCTCGCCCTTTATACGAGTACTTTCACAACTTGTACATATAAATAATTTCTATATATGTCATTTTCTATTAATCAACGTTAGAACATTGATTTTTAAATTTATGGGTATGAAGATGGGAGAGAATGAATTAACTGATACGGGCATTCATTGGTTATGCTTCCTATGTGTTTGTGATCTTTTATTTTAAAGTGTTTTCTTTTTAAATAAACATTCAAATATTTATGTAATTATTACATGAAAGTATTAATTGATTTAATTGATATAACAATCAGTAAAAACGTCGAAGTATCAAATAGAATAATAGCAGTCGTTTGTCAGAACTGATGCAACACGATTTGATCGAAAACGGTACCTATCTGATAGTTTTGTTTATGATTGATGGACTTGTCTGCTGTATCAGATTACACCTGACGTTACAAATTATAATTATATTAGTAAGCAAATTGCGTAAATTTATATAGATCATATTCGAATTATGTGTCGGACCTGGGGTTATACCTTAGAGTATGCAAAGCCATATCTGCGAACCCCCACTCTTGTTTCTTTAATTGACTTATTCGAGAATCAAAACTGCAACTACTTTTTTGTACTTATAAATTACTCGTTGCGTGCCATGACAAAAAAAAAATAAGTAAATAGATGTTGTAATTCACTTTAAGTATGACATAATAATATAATAACAAAGTTGTGAATTTTAACGTAACTTCTCAAATGATATAATGAAATAATTATGTAGGTCAAAGATGCCGTGGGAATTTGTATTAATATACATTCATGACAGAGGTTAAAGAAGATGCATTTTAATGCTTATAGTTTTAAACATTTCCTGGATAGGTTTTGTGTTGCACCTAGTAATGTATTGTAATATGGAAGACTATATAGATATAGAGTTTCGATAAAAAGATTTTACTATGAATATGTGTAAAAAATGTTAAAATATTAATGCAATATCCAATTTCCTTTAATTGCTGAGCATATATGCTAAAGAAGCAAACCCCTAAGATGGATAATGATAGTACATGAAAAATTTAACAAATGGTATAACTGAGTCAAGACTAGAATGTAAGGCTAAGATATGCTTTGTTGATCCCATAAAAAATAATAAGGACTCTGGAAGACGAACGAAGTCACATAAAACTACTGTTTTATTTATCTAATAAGATTCTTCTATTCAATACTATTCAAGTTGCATCTTGCACAAGTTTTTTTGTGTACAACTGTCTATCCTGTTTGCGCTCTTGTAAGCTTGTTGCATGCCTGAAGAGAGTCAATTTAGATGTCAACTGGGAGGTCAATTGTCAATTTCCTTTAAGATTGCCATTGTCTAATTGCTTAGTTGAGAGAACCGCTTAAAACATGATTAATCGTGGCTGGGGCGTCACGTTTAACACTGTATCCAGTTTGGCAAAGATTCGTTATTGCTCACGCTGACAGCAAACAACTGGATATATAGAAACAGGTTTCCAGTTCCCAGAGATTCTAATTAATCGATATAGTACGTTCGTTACTTTTTTGGTCAAATCTTTTGCGCGTTACTGATTACTAATTGGCGGTCTTTGAATCTTTTCTCGAATACATGTACTTTGAGGGATGTAATGTTATTAAAACAAATTGTAATGCTAGTAAACTTTCTATTGTTGGCATACCGCACACTAGCCTTGACAAAGTAGAAGTAATTAGTTAACGACTTGATGCTTAGATTACGACTCAATGTCATCGATCTGTACCCGGAGGTTAAAGACAATATACTTGTAGCTACTTAATATTACTTTAATCTTATTAAATCTGTTATTGAAATATAAAAAATTAATCTACACTAATATTGTAAAGAGGAAAGATTTGTATTTTGTTTGTGTGTATGTATGTTTGTAATGAATAAACTCGAAAACTACTTTGCCGATTTCAAAAGTTCTTTGACTATTAAAAAGCTACATTCACCCTGAGTAACATAGGTTATATTTATTGCTAGAAAAGATTAGGGATCTTTACTAAAACTTCAGTAACGTAACTCAAGATGTAAAAAAATGCTATAAAATATCTTTCGTCGCGTGCGCTGCGGAAACTTGGTGATAGAACAAAAGTATGTTCTATAATATTGAAGAAAATATCAATAACTACAAAAAACTTCGCGATACTATATCTCCAACTATTATCGTTATGTTACAATGATCACTTTTTAAAATGTTGTAAAAATGTCCACCCGTGCGAAGCCGGGACGGACCGCTAGTTTAAAATAAAGGTGAACAGAGTTTAATATATTATACTGTCAAGTAATAAGTACTTAGTGTAGTTGTTAATCGCGATTTTAAAGCTCAAAACAACTTTATTGTTAAAAAAATCAATTTATTTTAAAGTTACTATTTTTATAAGTTTTAATTTTTTATAAAATGTAATTATTTATACATTTAAAAATATTTTAACAAGAACCACATAAAGATAGGCGGCAATCGCCCACCGTGTAACGAACAACACTTCGTTCAGGTACCAAACTTGATAAAAAAAAAAAAAAAAACTAGAACTGACAGCTATAGTCCAACGTAATATATTAATGAAAAGATGAGGTACAAAAAAGTGGGGGATTTAAATTTTAAATAGCGGCGCGTTCAAGCAACTGTTACTGGAGTTTATTTTGTTTGAGTGCTCAGAAAAGAAAACAAAAGTTGAGGCGTTCTTTTCTCCTATTTGCCTCTGACCTCGGTTCTTATTGACAATGCCTGCCAGAATGAAATATGGCGCGCCGTTAACGAAAGAGAGATTAGTTGGTCGATATTACCACTCGTCTATTGTAGAGCATCTCGGCGGTGCGGCACTGTTTGTGCCTGTTTGCTGTTTCAAATACCTTTTACGTGTTGGTTTTTGATCACCTGTTCTGACGACCGACGGTTGATCGTTTTCTCGGAATGTGTCATGTTGTTATATTAGATAATAGTTTCTAAACCCAACAAATAAATGATTTACGTAAACATATTTATATTATGTTCGTCCGGGTCAAACGTTTCTCTTCAAATATAAATATCAGTTGAAATCCCAATTTGAAACTATCGGTTCTTGGAATTTTTAATTTTATGAACATTTTAATTATTAACTTTTTAATTTGGGACAATGTGTATACGAGTATAAGTAGCTTTATAGAATGGATAAAAGCGTTTCATGCAACACAAGTCAACTGATGTAGGTACTACATGCGTTTTCAAATTGAGAGTAGTGAGTGCAGTTAATGCCCGAGATATAACTGTATCAGTAGATGCAGAGCACAAGTGAGGTGGCGACTGGCTCCGCTGGCTGCGGAGGGGAGGTCTGGAGAGACGGTAATGAAGCGGCGCGTGTGGCGGAGGGCAGACACAATAGCTGCCGCCGCCGCCGCCGTCGACGCGCCGAGCCTTCTCGGAACCGGTCCAGAGGGCAGCGCTCTGCCGAATTTCGCGCCGACCACCCATCGCCCCGCACCATCCCGGCCGATACTTATCGCGCCTGTATTTATGACTAGAAACACTATTACTGATACCTTTCTCGGGCGATGAGGTGCAGTGTGATGTTTGCATTTTCTGTTTTCAGTCTTTATTAATTTATTTTCTCATAACATACACTTGTATTTTTTATTTTAAGTCTTTATTTTTAAAAATTCTTTGAGTATACAATTTTGTCAATTTATCCAGTATTTAAGTCTCCTACTAGGGGGTAGTCCTGAAAAGGGTGAATAAGAAACGAACATTAATTAAAACAATAGAGAATAGAAGAGGCAAAATGCTGGACCATTTTATACGACATGACGATTATTTAAAAAGCATAGTAGAAAAGAGGAAGAGGAAGACCGAGGAATAACTACATGGGACAGATAAAAGAAATACTAGGTGTCATGTCGTATAGTGAGGTCAAGGATATGGCATGGGATAGAACTGGCTGGAAGAAGATGCATGAATTAGTTGCACCGACAAGAGGAAACTCTTAAATGAAAAGAAGAAGACTACGGGGTTATGCCAGTAGTTGCCACGCTTGTAAGCCGGATTGGCAACCGCAGTTAGGCTTTGGAGATGTTTTAAGAGCGACCTAAGGCTTATATGATATAATGACGATGATCCAGTATTTAACATTATGAGTTATATTGTGGGACTCTGGTGGATTCATAATGTATATGTAATATTCTTGTAATTAAGCGATTGTTTTAAAAGGTTAAACTAAGTAAGCTTTTATATAATTATTTTCTATTGTTATCTCATAGAATAACGTCGAGATCTTCGGGTATTTTGGTCTATGACGCGGTAGACCGATAAATTAAAACAAGTGAGTGTCATTAGGCTGATCATAAACGAAGTTGTCTGTAGCCTTGTCGCAGCCACATTATAAAAAGATGACGCACCTACCGAAATATATTTATTGGCAGAGAACGTTACATCGAATCTTGTTCATGTAAATATATATCTGTCTTTAAGTTTCATTGACATAATGCTCTTTACGATCATAGGCACGACTATTGTAAACAATTGTCTAAATGTAACTGTAAGAGTGGTGTTTATGGTTTTATAACTGTTTTTCACAAAGATATGTTAATTAATATGTGAAATTTTCGTTCAATATGTCCATTCCTGACGTTGTCAGTTGGACGCGACGTGGCCAGATTCATTGAGTAAACTTGTGTGGCGCAGCTACTGCGCAAGCTTAATGCGCAGTGTTCGCGTTGCTTCGGGCCTCGGGCGAACACGTCTTTCTGTGTATGTCGACGACTTATTTGTTGTGTAAGTTTAGAAGCTTGCTGTCGGCGCCGCCCGTTCTCGAACGTCGTTAACTTTAGCAGTTATTGTTGTTATTGTACATTTTATAGTTGTTATTAATATACCTGAACCTTTGTCTCCTCTGAGATTAATATCATATTATTGACTGTACTATCATATAATTTTATTACTTAACTGGTATATTATTTGTTTAATATTATAAATTTAGGTTATTATAGGTATTTAATTTGATTTTCTTTTGAATAATGATTCGGATAAATTTTTGTAGTCAATTTTGGGTTTAATTAAAACT